CTACCAAAACTGAACCAGGAAGAAACTGAAAACTTGAACAGACCTATAACCACTAAGGAAATTAAAGCAGTCATCAAAAATCTCCCAACAAACAAAAGCCCAGGGCCAGATGGCTTCCCAGGGGAATTCTACCAAACATTTCAAGAATTAATACCTATTCTTCTGAAACTGTTCCAAAAAATAGAAATGGAAGGAAAACTTCCAAACTCATTTTATGAGGCCACCATTACCTTGATCCCAAAACCAGACAAAGACCCCATCAAAAAGAAGAATTATAGACCAATATCCCTGATGAACATGGATGCAAAAATTCTCACCAAAATACTAGCCAATAGGATCCAATAGTACATTAAAAGGATTATTCACCACGACCAAGTGGGATTTATCCCTGGGCTGCAAGGTTGGTTCAACATCCGCAAATCAATCAACGTGATACAATACATTAACAAAAGAAAGAAGAAGAATCATATGATCCTCTCAATAGATGCAGAAAAAGCTTTTGACAAAGTACAGCATCCTTTCGTGATCAAAACTATTCAGAGTAGGGCGCCTGGGTGGCTCAGTTGGTTGGGCGACTGCCTTCGGCTCAGGTCATGATCCTGGAATGCCGGGATCGAGTCCCACATCGGGCTCCCTGCTCAGCAGGGAGTCTGCTTCTCCCTCTGACCCTCCCCCCTTCTTGGGCTCTCTCTCTCTCACTCAAATAAATAAAATTAAAAAAAAAAACCTCTTCAGAGTATACGCATAGAGGGTACATACCTCAATATCATAAAAGCCATCTATGAAAAACGTACAGCGAATATCATTCTCAATGGGGAAAACCTGAGAGCATTCCCCCTAAGGTCAGGAACGCGGCAGGGATGTCCACTATCACCACTGCTATTCAACATAGTATTGGAAGTCCTAGCCACAGCAATCAGACAACAAAAAGAAATCAAAGGCATCCAAGTCGGCAAAGAAGAAGTCAAACTCTCACTCTTTGCAGATGATATGATACTTTATGTGGAAAACCCCAAAGACTCCACCCCAAAACTCCTAGAACTCATACAGGAATTCAGTCAAGTGGCAGGATATAAAATCAATGCACAGAAATCAGTGGCATTCCTATACACCAACAACAAGACAGAAGAAACAGAAATTAAGGAGTCGATCCCATTTACAATTGCACCCAAAACCATAAGATACCTAGGCATAAATCTAACCAAAGAGGCAAAGGATCTATACTCAGAAAACTATAAAATACTCATGAAAGAAATTGAGGAAGACACAAAGAAATGGAAAAACGTTCCATGCTCATGGATTGGAAGAACAAATATTGTGAAGATGTCAATGCTACCTAGAGCAATCTACACATTCAATGCAATCCCCATCAAAATACCATCCACTTTTTTCAAAGAAATGGAACAAAGAATCCTAAAATTTGTATGGAACCAGAAAAGACCCTGCAGAGCCAGAGGAAGGTTGAAAAGAAAAGCAAAGCTGGCGGCATCACAATTCTGGACTTCCAGCTCTATTACAAAGCTGTCATCATCAAGACAGCATGGTACTGGCACAAAAACAGACACATAGATCAATGGAACAGAATAGAGAGCCCAGAAATGGACCCTCAACTCTATGGTCAACTCATCTTCGACAAAGCAGGAAAGAATGTCCAATGGAAAAAAGACAGTCTCTTCAACAAATGGTATTGGGAAAATTGGATAGCCACATGCAGAAGAATGAAACTGGACCATTTCCTTACACCACACACAAAAATAGACTCCAAATGGTTGAAAGACCTCAATGTGAGACAGGAGTCCATCAAAATCCTTGAGGAGAACACAGGCAGCAACCTCTTTGACCTCAGCCAAAGCAACTTCTTCCTAGAAACATCGCCAAAGGCAAGGGAAGCAAGGTCAAAAATGAACTATTGGGACTTCATCAAGATAAAAAGCTTTTGCAAAGCAAAGGAAACAGTCAACAAAACCAAAAGACAACCGACAGAATGGGAGAAGATATTTGCAAATGACATATCAGATAAAGGGCTAGTATCCAAAATCTCTAAAGAACTCATCAAACTTAACACCCAAAGAACAAAGAATCCAATCAAGAAATGGGCAGAAGACATGAACAGACATTTTTCCAAAGAAGACATCCAAATGGCCAACAGACACATGAAAAAGAGCTCAATATCGCTCAGCATCAGGGAAATCCAAATCAAAACCTCAATGAGATACCACCTCACAGCAGTCAGAATGGCTAAAATTAACAAGTCAGGAAACGACAGATGTTGGCGGGGATGCAGAGAAAGGGGAACCCTCCTACACTGTTGGTGGGAATGCAAGCTGGTGCAGCCACTCTGGAAAACTGTATGGAGGTTCCTCAAAAAGTTGAAGATAGAGCTACCATATGATTCAGCAATTGTACTACTGGGTATTTACCCCAAAGATACAAAAGTAGGGATCCAAAAGGGTACGTGCACCCCGATGTTTATAGCAGCAATGTCCACAATAGCCAAACTATGGAAAGAGCCAAGATGTCCATCAACAGATGAATGGAAAAAGAAGATGTGGTATATATATACAATGGAATATTATGCAGTCATCAAAAGGAATGGGATCTTGCCATTTGCAACGACGTGGATGGAACTGGAAGGTATTATGTTGAGCGAAATAAGTCAAACAGAGAAAGACATGTATCCTATGACCTCACTGATATGAGGAATTCTTAATCTCAGGAAAGAAACTGAGGGTTGCTGGAGTGGGGGGTGTGGTGGGAGGGGTGGGGTGACTGGGTGATAGACACTGGGGAGGGTATGTGCTCTGGTAAGTGCTGTGAATTGTGCAAGACTGTTGAATCTCAGATCTGTACCTCTGAAACAAATAATGCAATATATGTGAAGAAAAAAAAAAAAAGAAGAAGAAGGTAGCAGGAGGGGAAGAATGAAGGGGGGGAAATCGGAGCGGTAGACGAACCATGAGAGACGATGGACTCTGAAAAACAAACTGAGGGTTCTAGAGGGGACAGGGCTGGGAGGATGGGTTAGCCTGGTGAGGGGTATTGAGGAGGGCACATTCTGCACGGAGCACTGGGTGTTATGCACAAACAATGAATCATGGAACACTACATCTAAAACTAATGATGTAATGTATGGGGATTAATATAAGAATAAAAAAAAAACAAAAAATAAAAAAAAAGATACATCTCCAAAAGCTACTGAAACAAAAGCAAAAATGAGCTTTTGGGACTTCATCAAGATAAAAAGCTTCTGCACAGCAAAGGAAACAGTCAACAAAACAAAGAGGCAACCCACAGAATGGGAGAAGATATTTGCAAATGACACTACTGATAAAGGGCTGGTATCCAAGATCTATAAAGAAATTCTCAAACTCAACACCCAAAAAACGAATAATCAAGTCAAAAAGTGGGCAGAAGAGATGAAGAGATACTTCTCTGAAGAAGACATATACAAATGGCTAACAGACACATGAAAAAATGTTCATCATCAATAGCCATCAGGGAAATTCAAATCAAAACCACACTGAGATACCACCTTCACCAGTTACAATGGCAAAAATGGACAGGGAAAGAAACAACAAATGTTGGAGAGGTTGTGGAGAAAGGGGAACCCTCTTACACTATTGGTGGGAATGCAAGTTGGTACAGCCTCTTTGGAAAACAGTGTGGAGGTTCCTCAGAAATTTAAAAATAGAGCTACCCTATGACCCAGCAATTGCACTACTGGGTATTTACCCCAAAGACACAGATGTAGTGAAAAGAAGGGCCATATGCACCCCAATGTTCATAGCAGCAATGTCCGCAGTAGCCAAACTGTGGAAAGAGCCGAGATGCCCTTCAACAGATGAATGGATAAAGAAGATGTGGTCCATATATACAATGGAATATTACTCAGCCATCAGAAAAGATGAATACCCAACTTTTACATCAACATGGATGGGACTGGAGGAGATTATGCTAAGTGAAATAAGTCAAGCAGAGAAAGTCAATTATCATATGGTTTCACTTATTTGTGGAACATAAGGAATAACATGGAGGACATTAGGAGAAGGAAGGGGAAAATGGCGGGGGAATTGGAGGGAGAGATGAACCATGAGAGACTATGGACCTGAGAAACAAACAGGGTTTTAGAGGGGAGGGAGGAGGGGGGATTGGTTAGCCCGGTGATGGGTATTAAGGAGGGCACGTACTGCATGGAGCACTGGGTGTTAAACGAAAACAATGGATCGTGGATCACTACATCAAAAACTAATGAGGTATTGTATGGTGACTAACATAATATAATAAAATTAAAAACTACAAAAAAAAAAAAAGAAAAGTCTTCCTGGAACACAGCCATGCCCCACCATTTACCTGTTGTCTGTAGTTGCTTCTGTGCCCTAACAGCAAAGTTGAGTAATGGTACAGAGACTGTCGGTCCAGAAAGCCTAAACTAATTACAGTCTGATCTTTTCCAGAAAGTTTGCTTACCTCTGCTTTACATACCATGGGCCATTATGGGATAGAGATCAAAGGGCACCACTCCCTTGCTGGCCCAAGTGTACCTCACGTACCCAAGCGAGCACAGTTCCCATAGACTGGGAGGTAAATGGAAGCGTACAACACAGGAGTCCTGAGCAGAGTGGGTAGACAAGGAAAGTGACTTGTGGAGACAGGTGAGATCTACCAGAAAAAGTTCCCTAGGAAATGCTTCCATGGTCTCTTTGCCTGAATGTCATTCATACTAATGACATACACCAACCTGAAGGGTCTATCAAAAAGCTCATCCTGACAGAATGTGAGTGCCTTGGTAATGGACGACCTCTGACTTTACAATGAGATGTTGTTTGGGACCTACCAGGAGGGAAATCAACAATTGTGGCTGGTCATTTACTGGTCATTTACTGAGCTGTGGGCCAGGCACTGGCGTGCAAGTAAAAAGTGTGTTTAGCTGGACACAGCGGTATTTCCCTCTGGGAGATGCCAATGTGGAGACCACTGGAAGAGAGGGCTGGTGTACCTACTTGCTCTTTCATATCTTCAGAGTCTGAATCTTTATCCACTTCCTCATCGGCATCATCTTCAAAATCCTCTGCGTGGAGAAAAAGAAATAAAATGGATGAGGCTTCCCCTGCGCCTTGGATTTGGATTCTCACCACATAGTGGCTAATACCACTGAGTAAGTGGCTCATTATCAAGTGCACCATATCCCAACACACTCTGATACAAATCACATACACAGAGGCATGGGGAGCACTGTATCATGAAGTCTAAATTGCCCCACGTCGAATGCAAAATGAGTGCAGAATAAAATGACGTACGAATACCATTCTGGGTTGCCCCGCCCAATTCACAACTATTTATGCAAACAACATTGCCAAAGTTTAGAGATCACATACAGGCAAAATTCACTATAACTCAGCACCTTGACTGACTCCCTAATTTTGGTAAGAAGGGACAACAGAAAGCATCCAGTACCACTATGGCAAGCTGATGCTTATGGAAAATCTGTTCCGTGGAAGGAGGGCAGGATTGAAAGGCACTAGAATCTTTCAACACCAAAATCTTTACAGAGATTGAATAATCATACTTTCATGCATTTAATGTCACTAGCATGGGTTGTAAATAGCCCAAGTTTTATTTCAAGTTCTTCCTTAAGGCAAATTAATTCCAGAGCCAGTCAGTACAATAGAGCCTCCATCATGGGACTGCAAATACGTTTTTTTTTTTAAATTAGCCGAGATGACCATACAGGCATTCAACCACCACCGGGCAAAATGGCAACAGTTAATAATTAAGAACAAAGTAAGTGAGCTTAGTATCTGTCCATTCTGTCTATGAAAAGCTTGCTTTTCCATACATTTTTCTAATTAGCTTCTTGGACATTTACAGTGAGCCTGTAAGAGCATTGATTCTACTTTCATCCACATCCCTCGGAAATACCACCAATATGCACAACTCACCGTACAACTCATCATTACCCACTGACTTTACCTTCGGCTAGAACACACGGAGGTTCGGAGGGGATGCTCCCAGGGACCGGGAAGGCATAAGCGCTGCTGGGTGTGACCAGGGGAAGCGGGCTCTTTGGGTAACACTGTCTAAGGATCTGAATTACGATGGAGATGACAGGCTCCAAGATTTTGTCGTCCAGGCAGTTCTGAACAAAGAGAAGACCCTGTCAGACGCTGACACCTCACACAGGGTGCCCTTTGTTAGATCAGCAGTTCAGGTAATGAATTACACCCATGGACAGTAAATATCCTTTTTTTTTTTAAGATTTTATTTATTTATTTGAGAGAGAATGAGAGAGAGCAAGCACATGAGAGGGGGGAGGGTCAGAGGGAGAAGCAGACTCCCTGCCGAGCAGGGAGCCCGATGCGGGACTTGATCCAGGGACTCCAGGATCATGACCTGAGCCGAAGGCAGTTGCTTAACCAACTGAGCCACCCAGGCGCCCGACAGTAAACATCCTTAATGGAGAATGTCTACTTGGAACATTCTAATGGAGAATTGTGTCTAATGTAGAATCGGCTTTGGCCCAGGGCATAATCTGTATTTTTATTTTTATTTCTTTTTCACAGCTCATATGTGATTGGAAGGAATTTAGTCTGAAGAGAGACTTAAAAGTCTTTCAGGGGACACTGTGGCTAAGGGAAGACATTGTCCAGGAGTGCCAGGGGAAGAGGAGGGGAGTATCTTCCTTCTGCCATCCAAGTGTCATTGTGAATTATTGCCTAAATTAGAGAATGAGCAGCCGAACTGATGGAAGCCTTACTTTTCTGTTTCAGCCAGTATCTGAATAGAAAACCATAAAGGAAAAAAGATAAAATATGAAATCAGAAAAAAAAGACTAAGTGAATCCCAAGTACCTAAATTAAATAACATGCCTGTTCTCAGAGCCCACAGTGTTGATCTCTCTTGGTACCTACCCAAAGCAAAGAAAAATTGGGTTTGCAGATGTAACATTTTGATACTGATGCAACCTGACAAGACCCTTCTTTTCAGACACTTTGAAAAATGCAAAAACAAGTTTACTAAATTAAGAGTGTTGGTAGTAAGTTGGTAACTCTTTGGCAAAAAAAATAGGCCATTTTCTTCAGACTCTTAGTAAATGCTTTGTCTACTGACTACATACAGAAAGTTGACAAGTGTGAGCTTCCAATCTGATATTCCTAAGGGGTTCCGTGGGAGCTCTAAGGCCAACAAGTCATAGTAGTAGAATGGAGGATGCTGAGCACCTGCCACAGGGCAGAGGGACTGTGATGACACTAGGCTGTGGTATCTCCAGGCCCACATTATAGGCAGCTTCACATAAAAAAAACATGGAGAAAAAATTTAACAAACTTTTAGCCATGAATTCAAACTATCCAAATGATTGAAAAAAAAAAACAAAAAACAGTAAGCTCAATGTTCAAACCAGGAATGTTTTAACACAATCAAAAATGCTATTTCCCCTTCGGTGTGCTCAAATGGTACCCCCATCAGGTGTCCTGAACCCACAGCAGGAAACATCCTCCATGGAAAATGAATCAGTCAAGGCTACCTCATCCCTGAGACTGGTCAAATGATTTTTAGTGCTTAGTGAAAAGTATCAGTACTGGAAAAAGCAAGAACTAAGCATGGGGGAGGGAGAGAGGGAAGGTAGATGGCTCATCACAGGTCAGGCTCTGAGCTTCATTCTTAGGAGGCACAGAGCCAAGGACAAACCAGGGGACTCTCAAAATTACCAAGCATTTTGGAAGCCAGCTGTGTCTGTGATTGTCACTGGTATTGTTATTGATAAATGTGACAATAATCCTGTGTTTTATTTTGTATGGGATGGTGCAGGTGAAAAGTCAGAGGAAGGATGGAGGGAAGCTCACCTGCCCTGATAGGTTGGGCCACACCGTGAATCTGGGGGATAGACAGGATATTAAAATCAACGGAAACCAAGGCATTAGGGTTGTAGTGAATTACTGCCTAAATCAGGTTGGTAGGAAACAGTGTAGTACACAGAGTCCATGGAAAACATTTATGAATTTTAGAATGATCCTTGCTTCCAAAGGCATCTGCCAAGGTTTCCCTAGCGTAGACAGGTACTGTGGCAGGCCAGGAGGTGGAGCATGGGAGGCACTCCGGATGCAAAATTTAAAGGGGCCTCAATCTCAGCCTCCTGCTATCACAGGATTAGCACTTACGCTGTGCATCAAAGATGACAAGACCCCAAGAAATAGGATCCCTGTGAACAACTGTCTCAGAATTGGGGGCAAAGGTGAAAATTTCTGGCTCACTTTCCCCATCACTTCCAATAATACACCTGTTACTTGGAAAAGATGATGAAATATGACAGTGCTTAACAAATTCAATTCACACTTAACGTCTTTGAATTAGCTTTGGAATAATAAATACACTACTTCTTTGAGACACGGGCAAGCGAGAGGAAAGTAGCTCCTCCTTATCCGCGGGTTCGCTCTTCCCAGATTTCAGGTGCCCACGGTCAACAACAGTCTGGAAGCAGATGATGCTCCTTCTGCAGTACCATCAGAAGGTCGATAGCCTAATCCTACGTCCCAATGCCTCACTTCCTCTCATCACGTAGGCTGTTTATCAATCTCATATCATCACAAGAAGAGTGAGGACAGCATAGTAAGGTATTTCGAGAGGGAGGGACCACATTCCCATAATTTTTATAACAGCATATTGTTATAATTGTTCTCTTTTATAATTGTTGTTGCTGGTAATCTCTTGCTGTGCCTAATTTATAAATTAAATTTTATCACAGGCATGATTGCATAGGAAAAAAACAGAGCGGATATGGGTTTGGTACTCTCCGCACTTTCAGGCATCCGCTGGGGGTCTTGGAAGGTACCCCCCTGGAGGGGGGTGGGGGGGCTACTGTACAGCACTCAGCTCAGATCCTGGAGCAAAACCACCTGAATTCAAATCCCAGGCTGATGATCACTAACAGCATAACCCTGGCAAGTTGCTACACCTCTCTGTGCTATGGTTTCCTCAACTAGAAAGCGGACATAGTAACAGAACCTCTCTCATAAGGATGTGTGTGAATCAGAGTTACAATAGGCGAAGAGCCTACACAATACTACACACTCAGGAAGTGTTCGCTAGCGGGATGTCAGCAGGCATCACGAAGCTCATAAAATCTCCTAAGAATCCGAAAGGAGATCCCAGAAGGCCACTGCTACTCAGCACAGAGCCCTAGTAATAACCTTCACGATAAGAAAATGAGACACTTTAGTGGAAAAGTCCAGGAATCCTGGATGTAAGTCCCAGTTCTCCTCCCAACTAGCCAAAGCCGTCCGTGTCTCTGCCTGAGCTCCCATGGGCTAACCCCCTCCTTCCCCCGATCTCTCCCTCCTTCCTCCTGTACCCTCGGATGCCCTCCTGCCAAACGGCAGCCAGAATGGTCCTTTAAGGTCATAAATCAGTTTAATGGGTATAGAGTTTCGGTTTTGCAGATGGAAAGAATTCTAGAGATCGGTTATACGACACTGTGGATGCACTTAATACGACCAAACTGTACACTGTAAAATGGCCAGAATGGCCAACCTTTCCATTGTATAAATTTTATCACAATTAAAAAAACAAAAAGCATACATCGTATCAGGTCTCTCCCCTGCTTCAAACCTGATAGAAATAAAATCTGAATTTCTTTTCCTGGTCTAGAAAGTTCTTCCCTCCTCTTTTTCCTCCCCTTTCTCCTTCCCCCTCTCCTTCCCTCTCCTCCTCCTCCTCCTGATTCTGTTCCTTCCTCATCTTTCACTGTTATGGGCATCACCTGCATCATCATCATTGTAATTTGCAAACAGCCACCAAAATGACATCACTAGATCCCAGGTTCCCGTGTTGGCCATCCAAGGACTGCAGGGCCTTCTCTGGCAGAAGAGGGGGAGGGCTGATGGGCAGCTCAAACCAGCACAGCTGCAGCCCAGTTGCTGGAGGCCCCCTAGGCTAGAGCAGCCTGGCACACAGGGCCAGTCCGGCCTCCGCTCACATCCTGTCCACTCCCAGCAGAAACTGGAGGCTGGGAGCGTGCTGTGAATTCATTTACTGAACAGCTGAGGTCTTCCCTGACTTGCTGAGAAACTGCTTTTAAAATCCTGCTTGCAGAGGCACAGGGGTGGCTCAGCCGGTTAAGTGTCTGACTCTTGATTTCAGCTCAGGTCAGTATCTCAGGCTCGTAAGATCGAGCCCCTGGGTTGAGCTCCACGTTGGACGCCACGGTCAGGGTGGAGTCTGCTGAAGATCCTCGCCCTCCCTCTCTCTCTGCCCCTCCCCCCCAATCCCGTGTGAGCACGCACGTGTGTGCTCTCTCACACGCTCTCTTTCTAAATAAGTAAAATCTTTTTCTTGTAAAATCTTTTAAAATAAATAAAATAATAAAATAAAATGAAATGAAATAAAATAAAATAAAATCCTCTTTGCAGAACCAGACTCCTAACTGTGGAGAACACACTGTGGGTCACCAGAGGGGATGTGGTTGGGGCATGGGGAAACAGGTGATGGGGATTAAGGAGTGCACACGTGATAAGCACCGGGTGATGTATGGAAGTGTGGAATCACTATATTGTACACCTGAAACCAATATTATACTGTATGTTAACTAATTGGAATTGAAATAAAGAATTAAAAAAAAAAGATGAAAGGAAAAAAATTAAAAGGAGGCCATTAGGGTGGGCCCTAGTCCCATATGACTGGTGTCCTTGTAAAAAGGGACATTTGGACACAGACATGCACACAGGGAGAACATCCTACCAAGATGGAGGCAGAGATGAGGGCATGCTTCGACAGGCCAAGGGGCACCAGCCCTGCCGCCACCTTGATTTGGGACTTCTGACCCCCAGGACTGGGAGAGAATGAATCTCTGCGGTTTGTGGTGCTTTGTTATGGCAGCCCCAGGAGACCCCTACGGGGAGGTTCCTCGCGCCACTCTTGGCTGTGACAATTCCCTAGAAAGACTCAGAACTCACTCAAAACTGTTGGACTTGCAATTATGGTTTCCAGGATATTATTATGTCGTTAACATGACAGATTAAGATCAGCTGAAGAGTGAGGCCCGCAGGGCAGAGTGCAGCTGTCTCAGGCCACTCAGGTGGCTCCAGACGGACACCGCAGACCCAGGGGCTGATAAACAACACACATTTGTTTCTCACACTTCTGGAGGCTGGAGGTCTAGGTTCAGGCACCAGCAGGTTCCCTGTCTGGGGAGAACCTGCCTCCTGGTTCACAGATGGCCATGTCCTCACACGCAGCAAGGACCAGGGAGCTCTCTGGGGCCTCTCTGAATAAGGGCACACATCCCATTCCCAGAGGCTGCACCCTCATGACCTAATCCCCTCCCAAAGGCCCCACCTCCCCATGCCATCACTTTGGGCAGCAGAGTTTCAGCATATGGATTTGGGCGACACAGACATTAGTCTACAGCACCAGGAGAAACATTAAACATGAGATAGATAGACAGATATTTTATATATATCCTGTTTCCAGGTGCACAGGCCCTTTCAAGTCTGTGCTTCACTTGCTACCTTCTCTACCTTCTCCCTCACATGGATATGTACTTCTGGGATCACAGTCTTCTTCCTTTTTTGCCCTTTTAATTTTTCCTAACACAGAGCAGAGAAACAGCCAAAGAAGGCAGAGGGCAGAGGATTTGGCTGGAACTCACAAGCTGGCATGGGGGGCTGCTAGGCATCAGCAGTGGGTGGGGGGTGTTTCACTCGAGATCTGGGGGGACACAAGCTTACAAAGCATGGTGACGCTTGGAGAAATTCCAAGCACTGCTTCACCCAGAGAAACAGAATGTTCAGTGCATCTCTTTCATGACGGAGAGGTTCCAAAGCTGTGCTGATGGAGAGAAACCCACAGGTGATAGCAGACAGAAAATCAGATATTGTTCGCAGCCCAGTACGATGTTACTGTTCAGATGCAGGGGGGAGGGGGATGCTGTTTTAATAGGAAAAGTCTACAGATACCACGGTTGGAAGACAGCACACTCATTGACTGCTTCATTGTCTCGGATATACGCAGGTATAGAAAAAGTGGACAGCGTCCCGAGAGGAGCAAGGTGACTGAGGAAGGGGGTGCAGAGAAGACGAGCTAATGTGAAGACAGCAGGGAGCGTGATGCGCATCAAGCATGGCTGCCATTGCCCCAGGAGAAAGGGAGTGAGCAGATGATCGATATTTGGGAAGCCTTCACCTCCTCCATAGGGTGGCTGTATGTAGCCTCGCACTATGGTGTTTAAATTAGTCCTAATCAAGTGCAGTTAAGGACTCTGCTGCTAGGGTTGAAATCCGGGAAACTGGAAACTACATATCCCACTGGGGTACAGAGAAGTAACAGCCCTTGCAGGTGCTCCCTCTGGGGAGCTGGGATGCAGTTCCTCTTGAACTTGGCATGACCGGCTTTTTCAATAATTCAGGTCTCAGCTTAGGTGTCACCTGCTCAGAGAAGACTCAACCTCTCCAGCAGAACATGCTCTCCCTCCACCTGTGGGAGTCACCATGGACGGCCTGTCTTGATTGATGTCAGGGAGCAATATGAAATGACCTCCCTCGCTGAATTTTTTGCTCCCTTAGTGTCTGACTCTCCTGCTAGAACGTTTACCCCACAAGATCAGGGGTCTTGCCTGTCGTATTCACCTCCAGATTCCACAGTGCTCATTATTCCAGTAACTGCTCATGCTCATAAAGCAGCCAAGTCATGGCAAGCACTCCATTAAATACGAGACATCTCTACGTTAACGTATTTAGGCCATGCCACAAGCTAGGTTTTATTATTTCCCTCTTTTCAAAAAAAGAAGAAACTTGAGACCCAGGGGGTCTCAAAGTTTCCCAAGTGTAAGTGCTAGGGCTGGGATGTGAACCCTCTTAACCACTGCCCCACACAGTGTAGCCAATAAACACATGATCGAATGAATGAACCCATCACTGCATGAGTGAACAAACGAATGAGGGTTTGAATCCAGAACCTCTGCTCATAGCAGGCAGCAAGAAATATACTGAGGTCCTCACAGCTCTGTTCATCAGGAACCATCCAGGTGTCATCCAGCTGCAGAGGTAACCCCAGGGTTAATTACCTGGGTGGTGCTGAAGAGGATCTCCATGCCCTGGGCTGCCAGGAAGGCCTCCCTGCCAGACCGGAGGTTGGCAATGTGCTTGAGGCTGAGCAGGAGCGCCCGGCGGATCAGCACGTAGGTATTGGCGACGTCTTGGTGGTGCCAGTCTTGGTGCAGCCAGAGCAAGCTGGTGACGTAGCCTCTGTTCACAGCCCTGCGGCTGTTAGACTCTGAAACCAATGGAAGAAGGGATGTCAATCATGGGCTCTCCCGGTCACACCTGCCTGAGGATGTCCGGTGTACGTCCCTCAAGGTACTTATTATAAACAAACTAACAACAACTTTCCATTGGAGAAAACTGGCAGACATCACCTTAACCAAGTGATCAAAGTGAACATCACCTTGTATGTTGCAAATGAGAAGGACACAGCATCACTTCTATAGTCTCCATGCCCAAAATGCACAGTCCGAATTTAACCATGAGGAAAATCAGCAAACCCAAAATGAGGGGCATTCTACCAATCATCTGACTGATACTCTTCAAAAATGTCAAGGTAAGGCAAAAAAAAAAAAAAAAAAGGAGGGGAAGGAGAGAGGAGAGGAGGAGGGGAGGGGAAGGGGAGGACGAGGAGAGGGAAGGAGGGAAGGGAAGGGAAGGAGGGAGCTAAAGGATTTATATAACATGTAAGTACAATAGAGAATTGTAATTTAGATCCTGAGCCGAAAACAATTTTTGTCCTTTGCTACAAAAGGCATTAGTGAGGCAGTCAGTAAAATTTGAATAAGGTCTATAAATTAACTAGTAGTATTATATCAATGTATATTAAATTTTGGTAAACTGTGCTTATGTAAGAGAAAATCCTTATGTTTAGGGAATTCACAACTGGAGTACGTGAATGTCTGTAACTTACCCTTAAAAAGTTCAGAAAAAAATTATAATAGTGTTGGGGGGCAAGGTTGAAAGAGTGAATGAGAGAGAGAGACATTTCTACCAGATCTCCATTCTTCTTTGCTAAATCTCAGCAGACTTAGGGTATAGTCACTGGGTTGAGTAAATTACAAGACTTCGTTTGGGAAGAAGACACTGAATGAAACATGATGGCTGAAAGACTGTCACGTGTCACAGATGTGTTGCATGTTTTTCCTAGAGCGCGTGGAAGCCAGCTTCTGGATAATCAAGGTCTGGCTCAGTCCCAGAAAGGAATTCCTCATAGTCAAGGCTCCCCAACAAGAGGATGGATTCCTTGTGGTAGTGGATAGCGGGACACTGACAATGTTCAGACAGCGGCTGGAAGTCCACCCAGTGGGGATGGGGTATGGGGTTTTCTTCTATCTGATGGGGAAACGTAACAGAGGGCTTTCATGGTGCCCTTCAGTACCGCAATTTTTCTTTGATAACTGAAGGATCCTGGTGGAGACCTCCCGTGAGACACACATCCTATGGGGTAAGTGCATGATACCCTGATTTTCCCAAGATATACTTTAAATTCTCTCTGAGGACACACAGAGGTGAGAATAGTCCAAGATACCTCTCTCAGCACTTAACACATGCTCCTTTCCAGTATAACCTCCTCGCCTGGGCTACTGGCTTGGTGGACAAGTGTGTCCCTGCCCAGATCTCTCCAGCAGGTGGCTGGTCACTTCAACTCCTGTGAGTAAAGTGCACCACAGGACTGCAACCAGCTGACTTGCAGCACAAATGCCCAAATCTCGCAGCTCTGTTCTCACTAGTGCATTCCTCCATTACCCAAATCGTTCACTCTGGCTTATAAGACGATATAGGCCTCTGGCCGAGTGCATACGTGAGAGAGATCCCCCGAGCTGTAACTGGAGAAGCAAAATTTCAGCTCAAAGTCAGATTTTTCCCTAAGACCATGTAAGTGCACATAAGTGAAAAAAATAACATAAAAATTCAGTGCTTTATTCCAGAGCGGTTTTCTCGTATTAAAGGAATTTTTTTTTCTGCGGGTTTGTCAAATTCTCAATTGTCAGGCTTGGCTGAGCCCCACTGAGATTTTTGACCCATTTGTACAGTTGGTTTTTTTTTTTCAGTTTTACAACATTTCATTCAGCCATGACCCTAAACTGAGAGTGATGAGCTTTATTTGCCCACTGATGTGTTTGTGGAAGGTTTAAATCTCCTTCATTACCTCCTTTACTGAATTATTCTTTTGCATCAAAAATATTTCTCTCCTTGGCTGGTCCCAGCCACAAAGCGCCAGAGTTCTTCACTGCTTAAATGAGGTTCCAGCCTATCCAATATCTGATGTTTAAAAGAAAACTGGGGATTAAGTAGGAGGTATTAGAGTATCCCCTGCTGGAAAGATGCCAGAATGTGAAAAACAGTGCACAAAGGCCCTGTGGGCAGGGAGAGGTTAAGGACTTTTGTCTTTTATCTATTTTAAGAGTAGGAGACTAATAACGTGTTATCTTAATGACCTTCATCCCCTACTCTCTTGGGGGGTGGGGGGGTGGGGATAATGGAAAAAAATCTTTGTCTCAGAAAAATCCCTTATCAAATCCTAATGATTTTATTCATGATTTCCTGTTAATCCTCAACAAGCTGCCATGTTTACTAACATCTAAAATGGCTACACCTCCTTCCCCGCCGACCGTACATCAGTCAATCTTTCTCTGAGAATGGCTTGCAGAATTTTGCAGAAGTCAATACGCATCTGAAAAAAACCGACAAGAGGAGATTCAGCAAACTGAGGAAGAGCAAATGTGGAGAAGAGCCAAAGAATGAAATGAGGGTCACTGAGATCGGCAATGTGCAGGAGTTCTAGATGATGTGAGAGGGAAACAACACTTCTCTGAGGGTGGCCAGATAGCCAGGAGAAAATGTTCCGGGTGAGCTCAGGATTTGGAGCAGGAGAGGGCTCCTGGTCCCCTGACCCTCTTCAAAACAGATCAGCTGCACTTAAGTCTGTTTATATATAAAGGGATTCCTCCTAAGGTTTTCTTGGAAAAAAATTCCTGCTCCTTAATTTTTTTTTTTTAATTTCCCAGTAGATTGGTTTATCTTAACTAGTAGGAGGATGGGGGTAGGATGGACAGGCAGGCGTTCTGAGTTTAACATCTCACTCCACACTCCCACCCTGTCTCAAACGCACCCTCAGTGCCCTTCTCCATCCTGCTGAAGGTCATTCCTGGTCACTTTTCCACTGGCAAATCCACAGACTCAACCTTGACCTTCCCTCCAATTCATCCTTTTATATTCTACCACCTCTGCGTCCCCAGATTATATCCTCCAGAATTATATCCTCTGTAGCTAATTATCAGTCTGAAATGTAACCTAGTGATATCCTTATTTTGACCCCAGGTATTCCTTCTCTGAGGTTCAAATGTTGTTTTTGGTTTTGGTTTTTTTTTTAGTGCAGACCCCATTGATGCAGCAGATTTTTACACTCAGGTAAAAAGAAAATAATAAATAACTAGAAGGGACTATGCCAAGATAGCACAAGTACTTAAGGGGGAGGAAGAGAGTGAGGATTCTATTTGCTTTAGACTTTTTAGATTTGATTTAGGCTTTTCTATAGTCCTTATTCCCCACATACTCTACAATGAACTCTGCTAATCAGGAGGGGGTAAAAAAAAATGTTACCTTCTGACAGGAGGTCCACAGACTGTTGGTTGTGCCATGTTGTAAATGCCTGTGGGCAGGGCCAATGGTCCCCAGGTTGCCATAGCAACCAACACACCTTTTTCAGCCTTACCCCCTTCCCTTCAAAAGTGAATTACTTGCCTACTAACCCCCTGAAGGCATCTGAGATCCCAGTCATCTCTATAAAGATGTTTGCCTTTTTTAAAGAGGAAAGTGTAGACGCCTTCAAGACTCAAAGATGGAATTTCTCCTGGGGAATATTCAGCCCCATGACGGGCTGGTGGAGAAATGCTCCGTGACCCAGATTATTACACCTGCCAGCACCCCACTCCTCTGGCAAAACTAAAGGAAATTTCATCTCTGCTCTTCATTTACCATATCTGGGGATTTCATCAGCCCGTTGAGGGTGAAGTAATGACTTCACAGTGACCGAATGGGCACCTGCAGCAGAGCAATGAGCCGAACAAATGAACAGCCACGGATCTCAAACAAGACGGACAAATTAGTGCAGACTCTAAACTCATCTTTCCTGTAGTCACGCATACACCTGCACGGCCTGGCTGGGCCTGCTGTCAGCTGTCTTTTGGGACTCCTTGTACCCAGCCAGGTGCTCCACCGCTTTCTAGCTGTGTGGCCTTGGACATGTCAGTTCACGGTTCTATCACTAAGTCTTTATCTGAATGACAAAACTAATAATATCCCTGCCTAGGAAGTTGTTGAGAAAATTAAATGAGATAATACATGTAACGTTGATGGCTCAATGCCTGGTGCATAATCAGCGTTCAATACCTGTTGCCTATTATGACTGTCCTCATCAACATGATAAGCAAAATCCATTTATTATTCCAACTCCCCCCCTATTGTTACGGACAACAGAGTGCCAAAGGCTCAGGATGTGAACATATTCTTTTTGGCAGCCTCATCCAAGAACAGGAGCTCCAGGGTCACATAGCTGTTGATGTGAATCTGGGCTCTACCAGTTACTAGCTGTGTAACCTTCGTTAAGCTGATTAGCCAGCCTGAACTAGATGTCCATCATCTGCAAAGACTAAAGCAAGATGAAAAAAAGATTAATTACAACATCAGCCTCACAAGTCTATTATAGGGAATGAATGCAAAGCATAACACCTGGCACAGAGCATGTGCTCAGTAAATGATAATCCCCTCCCCCATAAGGATGACATCAAACTTCACGTACCTTTTACCAGTGACAATTGCCCATGGAAAAGTTCCTAAAAAAGTAAAATGTATCCAAGTTTCTTCAATCTCCATGTAATGACTTCTCACCCCAAATATCCACCAGCTTTACACTGTTGCCCATCTGTCCTTAGACATTCCGATACAGACACCCTGAGGGTCACACCTCCCAGGTGTCCCATATAGAAAAGCCCATACTGCAGACCTTTATTGTTCCCCTCTCTGGCAAAAGTTACCTCAACTGGGTCCAATTACACCAACACTTTTCTAGAGGACTGGTTAGTGTTCTAAGATCCTCTTAATTGATAATGTTCAAGAGGTTACTAGCCCACCCTTGCCTTGGATAAGGCATACATGAGTAAGAAGAAGCACAAGGATTCCAGGCTCCTATCACTCTTGAGAACAAAAATCTTCTTCAGCCACACAGCA